CCCCAAAACCCCAAAACCCCAAAACCCCAAAACCCCAAAACCCCAAAACCCCATAAATGTAATTTAAGAGAGATAATTAATATTCTAATTTACAAATGGAGCATAAGACTTGTGTTCGACCTAAGAAAAGAACCCCTGAAGAGAAGGTAAATCCTTAGAAAAAGATAAAATTCATAATTTTGAGGGAAATCTTAGTTCAGAGTGCTTTCAGACTGGGGTTAGATAAAGAAATGGCTCAATTTAATCAATCGTTAATGGAAAACTTTAATAGCTTACTTTTACTCTGGAAAGTTACAAGGAATAAGACTAGGAAATATGAGTTTTAGATTTGAGCAAAAGCTTTTAATGGAGACTTAAACGACCCCAGATTAACCTCAATTAGGCCTCTATTCTCACTAAGTACTATCTTTACCAACCTCCCAATTAGACATATCCTCTCCTATCTTCTTAAAACTACTAATCACTTTCTGAACTTATCTTCTGCCAGCTAGATCAATGAATCGAAATATTAATAATTATACAGAATGCTTATCCAATTGGCTTTGAACTATTACTTATACACTAATAGTACTGAGGTAACACTTAATCCCTCTATATGCTTAAATACTTGCGCCATTTTGCTTTGGAGACTGGTTCTGGTAACCTAAGACAACATTTGGACAGCTCATATGAATCTTAGTGATAGAGCTGGGAATGGCTTCCTAGGTTGCTGAGAAGGTTAGCTTGAAGTTTTACTTGAACAAATTTGGGATACAGCGTTTTTGTAAATTTGGTGCTGACTCAGAAGGTTATACATTTATTGGTGAAATTGGGATGTCAGTGGTTAAAATGTGGGTGTTAAGAGAGGTTTTGGGGATGGAGAGACGAGTTGTATGAAAGAGGTGGGCGTTTTGGGAGTCTTGGAGGGGGAATTTCAGTAATAGAGAGTAGTTTAGGAGGAGAGAGAAAGTACTTTTGGGTAGGATAAAGGGAAATTAGGAGGATATGGCCTTATTTAGATTTGTATAGATATTTAAAACCTCCAATCATTCTTCCACCCAATTTCGGTAATCTATCTGATGATTATCTGTAGATAATGTCAATTTTAATAGACAACTACTGATCCTTGATGTTATAAACAGCATATAGGCTTGAAATTTTTTTCTTCTTCTAGCAATTCCTGATTAAGGAATCTTTCAAATTTATGAACAAGAGTAGTTCTTAATATCAAATGTATTAGCCTACATTTTAATATTTTAAGACTTTTCATAGCAGATTTAGTATTTTAATAAAGTCGGCTTAATTCGGACTAAAATGTGCCCTAGTCTTCTTCAAGTTTCAAAGGATTAGTATTAGAAAGAAAAAGAATTGTGCTACTCCAAATGTCATAAGCTTAATACTAAAATCTAGGAAGTTGAAAATTATATACTTAGTGAAGGATTTTGATTAAAACAAAAGAGGGAGTTCTACTGAAGTTTGAAATTACATACTTTTCCTAACTCGAGCCAAATTTTTGTAACTTATTCGTCTATAATGGTGCGTATCGTACTAAAGTATTTAGTATTCAATGATAAAACCTTGTTCAAAAGTATTATGTGAGGTTAATTTTTTGATATAGGAACTAATGAAAGTGTTTTCCCGACCACCCCACGAGAGATCACTTGAATGAATCACAAAATGCATCCCTATTTTAAAGAAGATTAAATTTTTCTCTCAAAGAGAGATTGACGATGAAGAGTACATGGAAATCAGTAAGTTTTGGCAAACCAGATATTAGGGTTGTTTATTGTAGTTTTGAATTTCTGAGCGTTATTATACATAAGTTGTGCAATATTTCATCCGTTAATTATCTTGACAACGATAAGCTAATTACAAAGCTAAGTTCGAAAACACTCAAAATTGATATCTCTGATTTATAATGATAATTTGATTCATTGTTCATAATTATAATATGTACCATTTAGAACAACCGCTTTCTCTAATTTAAGGATTTTGTACCATTCTTACTGACTCCAAAATTGATCAGTTGCTCTTACCTTTGCTACATCGGTTTCTTACCTAACGGTCTATAGTTAAGTGAATGGAAATCAGTTACTATCCAAAAGGAAATATAATGTATGAAGAAGGATCTTTTGGCAGGGAGTTTCACCTAATTATTATGGGAAAAGTCACCGTTTGTATTAAGGACCCATCAAAATGCGGTGTAGGAGGCGGACTTCGCAAGTTCAGAGCTCCAAATCAGAAATGATTTGAGAGAGCCAATAAAACTCTGAAGGACACCTATGAATTTATGAAGATGAAAGCTGGGGACTCTTTTGGTGAGTCTGCCTTGGTAAATGATAAACCACTTCAAGAATCCGTGTTGTGTTCGACTGATTGCCATATTGCTATCTTGAAGAAAGAAAAATATGAGGCTATCCTGAAAAAGATTGAGATGAAGACCAGAGACGGTTGGATAAGCTTCTTCAGAACTCATCCTATTTTCGGAGATCTGACTCTCGTCTCACTAGAGAAGCTCTTTTGCCTTGTAGAATTGAAATTTTTCACTAGGAACCAGCCCATTTTCAAAGAAGGAGACGAAGTAAAAGGATTTTATTTGATCTATCGTGGTGAGGCTTCTCTTACTAAGAAAGTAACTAAATAAAATTCATAAGAAAATAAATGTGAGTAAATACTATAAAACATCATCAAACATATTGGAAAGTAAGGTTATAAAAGCTAACTCTTTAGAAAAAGTTCAAGGAAACTTCCAATCCTTCCTTCGATCAACCATGATAGATGCTAATAAGGTTCAGACTCTGTCAAAAGATCATGAATTAAGAATCATGGGAGAAGGTCAACTTCTTGGCATCGAAGATGCTCTTTTGAAGAGATCGAAAAATACTTCAAATTATTTTGGACAGTCTTGATTCGCAAAATCTGCGATCACCAGTTTGTTCTACTTTGATAAAGCAAAATGTTGGGAGAAGTTACAATATCTCGGAGTCATGGATAACCTTACAAATATGGCTAGGAAAGATTACAAGAGGCTTCAAAAATTTACCAAGCAGTCCGTGCAAGCCAGCAAAAAGTTAATAAAGTAAGCAACGTTTCAAATTATGGTGAAATAACATTCTGATAGTGAAGCATACTCAAAATCAAATGAGAAGCCAGCTATCACATATAAAAGTGTAACAAGGGAGGAGGGAGAATATCCAAAGACTATTACGAATTGGCTAGATCAGAGATGCTCCACTAACAATTACTCAGGAAGAAATTATGACAAAAAGACGCCCATATAATAAAGTCAGATTCAAACTTTGACTGAGTTAAGAGTGTTCCACTAAACCGGCAAAATACGAGGTAAGCTTATTAGCAAATCAGCGATAAAAATGTTTTAGACAGCCAAATGTAGAAGCAAACTATCTCAGCTCAAGGAAGGTCGCAAGAAGACTTGTAAGATACTGGTTTCATGCTGTTTAGTTTTCTGAAAATATTCATAAAAATTATGACCTAGAAACGGTGAGAAGCATGAAAATGGATTTCGAAAGATCCAATATTAGAAGAAATTTTAATCCTTCGATGACAAGCAAAGACATTACATGGTTGCAGAAGTCTGGTTTTAACTCTCCAGCTACAAGGGGGGAACCTAATATTAAGAGTCTTAGGATAAATCAACTGAAGAAAATTTGAAGATCAAAGTGCAAAAATCTGAAAAATTCTTCAAGAGATGTCCTCCTAAACTCCTGAATTAAGGAGATCTCTAAGGTCATCGAAACAAACCCTGAGAGTTATAGACAAGAAACTATGAGTGATAAGGTAAGCACTCTCTTTTTCTAATATCTGTTCATATTATTGACTTTGCTATAGGAAGTACCTGGTATATGTATGAGAAAGATATCTCCAAAATCTTCTTTCCAGAACCCGCTAATAATACCAGAAAATAAGAGGAAAATTATATCCAAGAACACCATTTTGTCTCCTGGCTTTAAAACCCAGAAGAGTCTTTTTGCACAGCTGGAGAAAACTTCGGTATCTAGCGAATCTGTTTCCAATGAGAGGACTCCAGCTATAGAAAGATCTATTCATAAGAAATATTTTCAGAAAAAGGCGACTGATATCGGACTGGAAACAATTGATGCCAAATCTCCGCCAAGAGAGATGACCGCACAGCTAATAAAAAGTACTTATAAGTCTCAGGCTCAGAAAGCTAAGTGCAAGCCGACTGTTAAGGTAGTTCAGAAAGTATCGAAGAATCTTAATTCTCTATGAATGCCTAGGAACAAAAATATTGTGTATGTGAATAATGTATCCCAAAAAGTTAGGGTCAAACACATGCATGCCAATAGGAGGCTTCCTATTTCTCCAAGGAGTCTTAATTTATCAGGAAGAAAAGGATGAACTTTTAAAATTGTGCGTAAGGAAAGAGGCAGAAATCCTTCCAAACTAAGAAATTCTCCTGCTTTCAAGAGCATAAGTCCAAATGGAGAGAGAAAAATGAATTTAGGCTTCAGATCACCTCAATTCAAGATAACGTCTCCCTTATTTATAAGCCGTTAACTTTATTCTTTATGAAGAGCTTAGGTCCAGCAATTGGATGAAATTGTTCTTCTCTATAACTTACTTAATGTAATAACCCTTTTAATAATTTTGAAATGCTTTCATATTGCTTGGAGATACTGGCTTAAGCACCAGTTTGTTTTTAGACGTGGTTCATTTAAACTGTTCCGGTTTACTACTACTGGATAAGCCATATAATTTAGAAAATACAATATGATCTAATATTCAATAAACTTTAGCAAAAGAGGGGTTTTGGGGTTTTGGGGTTTTGGGGTTTTGGGG